GGAGTGCTGTTTACTGACTTGCTTCTCATGGCTTGTACAGCCTGCTTTCTTATAGAACCCAGGACCACCAGCCCAGGGTTGGCATCACCCACAATGGGCTGGGCCTTTACTATGAATCACGAATGAAGAAAATGCTCCACAAGCATCATTGCTTATAGCCTGATCTTCTGGAAGCATTTTCTCAACTGAAGTTCCCACCTTCCAGGTGATGATAGCTTGTATCAAGTTGACATAAAACTAGTCACCACATAGGCCTTGACTGGATAAGTTCAAGGCAGCAATGAAATAAGCAAGGCCCCTGGCTTTGGTAAACTTCATGTTACAGTGATGAGAAAACACATTCAACCTACAAAAATCCATAAACAACAACAAAACCCTGAAATATCCAAAATCTCTCTTTTATACCACATTCACTGGGAAATAACAGTATGTTAAAATAAATTTTGCTTTGACCTCTTGCTCTTCACCATTTGCTTTGCATTCTGCTTATTTGGGTGGCTTCTAGGAAAAAGAATATTGGGGAACATAGTGTATTCATGGAGCAAAAAGTTTCACAGGAGAGTCACAGTTGGCCATTTTCAACACCAAACAAATTCTTCTAAGCATAATTAGAAGGCAGACCTACAAAGGTACAACTCAGAGGATGAACAAATTTGTTGCCAATGAGGGTAGAAATTGGACCTGTGTGGATTGCCCACCAAAGGTCCTTTCAGGAGAGACCTCTGAGAATCATTTTTAAGTCATGCGGTTATGGCTAACAAGGTTTGAGAATTATTTATGCAGAGAAACTTTTAGAACATGAGAGTGGAAAGAGGGAGCTAAACAGGATTTCTTGGCTGTGTGAGTCTTCACTTCCTTAATGGAATAATAATACATGCTCTATCCCCCTGGGGATGATGGGAATGAGCAAATTTGTGATTATAAAATATCCCTCAGTTTGAGAGTGGTATTTTGTTTTCAGTTGTCTTATTGGCAAGTGCAGTACTTGAAGTTGAATCAGCTGAGTTTTTTTTTTTGTTGTTCTAAGATTTGTGGGGGAATGAGATAAAAGTAATACAGGAAATGTGCAAATGAGAGAAAAGGAAAATATCTGAAACTGAGAATCTACTTGCTCAAGCATAAGAATGCTTATTTTGCTCTTGAGGGTAGAAGTTAAGCTTGAATAGCAGAGGCTAACTATCTCCACAGGTAGAGGGAAGACTGAAAAATGGCAGAAGTTAGGCTGGGGTGGAAATGGAAAATGCATACAAAGAGACCAATCTGTGAAAATATACTTATGTCTCAGGCAAACACATGGAAAGGATAAGGGGGAAGCTCATCAGAGATGCATAGTCACTATAGTTTGACATTTACAAAAAGAAAAAAAAAGGATTCATCTAGAATTTTCAAATGTATTTTGAGTTATGAGTCCTGTAATGTTTATATGACATTCTAACCCATATCACTTTTTAAAAGCATTTACATTATATATTGGGCTTCCTGCATTCATACTAATCATCAAGAAAAAAAACTTGAAAAATACATGTACATAGTACAATGATTGATGTGAATACAGTAGTCATCAGGTAGATAGAGAAATACATGTTAAGCATTTAGAATAATGATTAATGTTTTGTAATGAGCAATGAAAAACACCTCAAGGTTCCAAAAGACCACAACTTCATCAAAAGGTCTGAATTGTTGGGAAATGCTTTGGTGTTCTAAAATGTATTGAGGGTTTTGAAACTACTTCCTATAGTAGAATCTGGCTTTTTTACTAAAGAAAACACACTTTCAGGAAATTTGATTGATGGAAACAGTATTCTTAGATTTATTTTTATCTTTATAAATATCTATTTTTTATTATGTGCATATACTTACACCAGAGCTGGAGTTTGTCAATGCAAGTGCAGTCAAATCCCCCAGAGCTGGAGTTAAACAGACTGTGGGCTGTTACTCAGGTGTTGGGAACTGAACTTGGGTCCTTTGCAGGAGCTGCACATATGCTGTGGGATGTTCTGTATGTTAAATGTGTTGCTCTGATTGGTTAATAAATAAAACACTGATTGGCCAGTAGCCAGACAGGAAGTATAGGCAGGACAAGGAAAGGAGAGAATTCTGGGAAAAGGAAGGTTGAGGCAGAGAATCACTGCCAGCCACCGCCATGAGAAGATGTTAAGATACCGGTAAGCCATGAGCCATGTGGCAACTTATAGACTAATAGATATGGGTTAATTTAAGATATAAGAACTAGATAACAAGAAACCTGTTGCAGCCATACAGTTTGTAAGCAATATAAGTCTCTGTGTGTTTACTCGGTTGGGTCTAAGTGGCTGCAGGACTGGCAGGTGAGAGAGATTTGTCCTAACCGTGGGCCAAGCAAGACTGGAGGAAAACTCTAGCTACACACATACTTTTAACCACTGAGCCATTTCTTCAGCCACAGGATTATATTTTTGATTAATAAAAATTGTCATGTATGTATACTATATTTACATCATTTCCCCTTTATTATCCTCTTTCTGATCTCCCATGTCTCTCTGCTTCCTCTCAAATTCATGCCACTTTTTCTTTAATTATTTTGTTACATACACACACACACACACACACACACACACACACACACACACACACACAAATTTCTGCTGACTCCATAACAGTATTGCTCAAATATATATGTTTTTAGGACTGCCTATATTAGATAACCAATAGACATCTCATCTTGGGGAAGACTGATTAATTGCCTATAGCTCTTCATGCTGGGATGGAGTTTGGTGAGATTTCCCCCATCAGACATACATGCAGGCAAAATACCCATATATTTTTAAATTAAAACAATCTTCAAATTGTAACCATATAATATATGTATCTATATTAATGTGTGCATATTTGTCATTAAGGAAGAGATCATAATGAAAGATGGGTTAAAACTAAACTTTAGTGTTAGAAACTATAGCCAAAAGTTGCTGGAAAAAAATCAAAAAGAGGAAAAGAGCAAATTCAAAACTGGAATTAACAACATGATTAGAAATGAAATATTAGGATGCAGAGCATAAATGTAGGAATTTAGAGATAGAGGTGAAAGTATAGTTACATATGAATAATTATCAGCAATGATAGCTTGGAACCTCTTTGCTAATAGACACAAACTACTCACAACACAATGCAGGAATGCCTTGAAAGTAAAAGGATGCTCATCAGAGGAGCCTCCATCTATTCAAACTTGGGCAACATCAGGCACTCAGACAAGCTCACATAGGAGTGTTGCACTGCTCAGTCACCTAAGGGACGGAGACTTTGTGACTGTATGCTCCACAAAACAAATAAATCAAGGAAAATGAAGACATCAGATCTAGGAAAGAGGGAACTTTCCTCAAGTTGTGAAGATAAAGGGAGCTGGGATGAAGATGAGACAGGAATGAGGAATCTGACCCAAAAATGCACCTGGTCCAGATGGCAGGAGGGGCTCAGATGGCTCCAACAAGGCATCTCTGGGGAAAACAGTAGACCAAGCAGGCTGTCTGACAGAAGGTAAAGTTCGTTTTCAGAGTTAATGAAAGAGACAGGAGAACAGAATGAGAGAATGAGTAAAGTAATGTATTAAGCTCCATAACATTATGCAACACATAAGATGTAGCTTATGTAATTAAAAGCTCAGCACCATGTAGTTAAAACCATGAGAATACTGTACATAGATATTTTAAAATAGCGAACTTTGGGAAATTGGAGAACACAACAAAAGTCTCATGTGTCGGGGATGCTGCATATGTTTATTTTTGTTGAAGTTATTTTAAAGCAGATAACAAAAGGTTACTTAAAACATTGAAGATAGGTGCCTGTTGTGACTAACTCCTTGGATGCAGGAAGAGAGATAACTAGGTTTTGCCCTGTGTTAATTATCAATACTTAAAGTTTAAGCATAGGCAAGAAACAGCTTTATAAAACATCGTATTTAGTAAAATTATAATAAATGAAATTAAATTCAATAAATAATATCATACCTCAACAAAACTATGTTAAATAAGTTGACATTTGTTTTACTAATGGGAATATGAGTAACAATTTCATGAATACTTTGTATTCCTCCATCACACCATAAGTTCATTACCTTCTTGTGGTTTTTAGTGTCTAGAAAAGATGTGCTAATGTAGTTGATACTCACTACTAAGTTTGGTATATCTGGGTCACAGTTATCTTTCACAAAACATTATTTGAGAGAAATGTACTAGAACTACACAGAACTGGCTTTTCCCCACCGTGTGATTACTTCATTTCTATTTGGTGGCTTCTCATTTCCAGTGTTATATCAGGTATTTATTGCAATATGTAAATAGATCACTAAAAATTGGATTGTTGAATGATATACTCAGTGATAAACCCCTGAAAGGAGAGGTTTTAGATACTGAAAAGGACTCTTTTCTATAAAAAAAAAAAAAAAGAAGAAGTAGCAGGCAAGCTAATTGAAAGTGCATGATTGGTGATGGGGGATAAAATGGAGTCTTGTCCTTGGGAATGCTTGTTGCCATGATGATATTGACCTTCATAAGATTTAAAGATCTAGCAAGATAACCTGATATCTCTTTTTCATTTGCCATCATTGGTCATTGCTATGGGACAATGCATATATATGCAATTGGAAAGAGTTCTTGATACCACTAAGCTTGATTTTGCAGAGTGCAGTGCCCTTCTCAAGAGAATATAAATTTTAGAACTTGAGTTTGCCTGAAACATGGGTAAGATTACCTGGCTTTAAATATGAAGATTAATTAAAGAGAGACAAAAGAACCACTCACTCTATTCCTGAAGATTCTCCTTTATTTAATTATGTAAGCACCCCTTTCCAATTTGCTTTCTCTGTATGGGCAAGCTCATTTTTGATGCTGTTATGATGGCAGGTAGGTCTATTCTAACTCAAAAACAGGAAAATGCTGTATCTGTGCTGTGAGTCTCTAGAAATGATCATTCTAACAGCCAAATTTCTCAAAGTTGTGTCTTCTCAACTGTCTTCACCTAATTTTCAGGTATTTCAACCTGAGATCCGCACGCAGCTTCTGCTCTCTTTACTTCACTAAAATGACTATTGAGAAGTTGCCACCAGCACTGTAGTTATCAAATACAAACTCATTCTTCAAGGTATTTGGTTATGTAATTTCCTCACACTATGTTTTTTCTTCTAATAATACATAGTTTTATGTCACTGCAACCTGGCTGTATGCTCTATCTTCCTTCTGCCAAATTCTAAAGAAATAACTAACACTTTCTTACCTTCATTGCATCTGAATCTATCTGAGAGTTTCTTTATTCATTATCAAATAAGCATTCATTATTTGTTTACATTCTGCTGGAATACATAATTTGACATGAAGAGTGAAACTATTATTCCTTGGTTTATATTTATTTTGTGTGTTGCATACCTCTCTCTCTCTCTCTCTCTCTCTCTCTCTCTCTCTCTCTCTCTCTTTCTCTCTCTCTCTCAGTGTGTGTATGTGTGTGTGTGTGTGTGTGTGTGTGAAGCAATTTGTGCATGTGTGTACATTGTCATAGTCCAGTGCAGATGTTGATCTTTGACTTCCACCATGCTTTAGATAGGGTCTCTCTTTTATTGGTCACCTGTAAGGGGAAGTTTTCCTGTGTTCCGCCTGGTCCCAGAGCCACTCAGTCCCAAGTAAATACGCAGAGGCATATGTTACTTACAAACTGTATGGCCTATGGGTCAGGCTTCTTGCTAACTAACTCTTATAACTTAACTCAACCCATTTAGATTAATCTGTAGGTTGCCACATGGCTGTGGCATTACCAGTCTGCTGGCATCTTGTTGCTCCTTGGGCAGTGGATTGGCGTCTCCTCTGCCTCTGCCTTTATTTTTTCTGTCTGTCTCTTGGATGTTTGGCCTGACTATAACCTGATTTGCCAAAGGCCTTAGCAGCTTCTTTATTCACCAATTATAGCAACACATAGTCACATCATACAGAAAGACCATTCCACAGCAGTCACCATTGTGTATGTCAGGCTGGCTGGCTCATTAGCTTTGAGGAATTCTCCTGTCTACATCACCATATGAGCACAGGACTTATAGGTACACATTATTGTGCACAGCTTTATTCTAGTTTGTTCTTAGTTTACTATATTGAGCCACTGATTGTGAGTAACTTGGGGGAGGAGAGGGTTGAGCTTATAGATTCCAGTCCAACACTAAAGAAATTCAAGGCTGAAATTCAAAGTATGACCCTAGAGACAGAATACATGGAAGAATGCTGCTTACTGGTTTCCTGTCTGTTCTACTCTGCTGCTGCTCCTCTCTTTTTTTTTAAAAAGATGTATTTATTTTTATTTCATGTGAATGAGTGTTTTGCCTGTATATATGTGAGTACATTGCTTACTTACCTGGTGTTTGAAGAAGTCAGAAGATGGTGTCAGATCCTTTGGAAGAGGAGTTACTGGTGCTTGTAAACAACCATGTGGATCTTGAGAACCAAACCCAGATACTTCAAAAAGCAGCAAGTGCTCTTAACTAGTGGATAATCTTTCCATCCTATCATCTAGCTTTCTCACACTACCCAGATCTACCTGCCTATGAATGGTGCCTCTCACTGTGGGCTGGACCCTACTACATCAGTCAATAAACAAAACAATTCCTGGCAGATAAATTCACAAGCTAATCTGATTGAGGCAATTTCAACTGAGGTTCCTCTTCCCTGGTGACAGTAGGTTGTGTATAGTTGACAATGAAAGGTAATCAGAACAAATAGATTCTGAAGATTTTAACTCAAGTCCTCACCTTTTGGGACAAAGGCTTTACCCACTAAGCCATTTTCCCAGCCCTGTTCTTTGTTTCATAAACTAACTTTTTTGCATTGAGTTAACCACTGGATTCTGATTATTTTTCCTATGAATTCTTTCCCATAACTTTTCTTCATGTTTTTACTCTTATTTCTTGCTCCATAGCATCTCTTTATATCATACAAGCTAAGAATTCTTATGTAAGGTTCATGTTTCTCACTGTATTGATATTTTGGCCACGTTATAATCATTACAGATTTTTGTGGTTAGTGAAATTCATCTCCATCTGGATATTGGTTTATGATGCATTATGAACAATTTAATTGTTATTCAATAAACAATTATTTACTGAATTTGTATTCAATGTTCTGTCTGAGTATAATAGGAATTGTTATAATATAATTGCAACCCTAAGTTTGGATATAAAAACTAAGGCACTTCCTGAGTATATACATATAGATGTGTAGTGACTCACTGTTGCAATTGTTTCTGGTGTTATGTATCACAACAATGACCCTTTGATGGATCCATGCTGGTTATAATCCAACATTTCATGGGAACCATATTTAAAAGAGGTTTCCTTAAATAGTAGGAGGAAAAAGCCACAGATGTCTGAAGTTCTGGTTGGACCAGTTTTCTCTGCAGTCATTAATGCTAGCTAACTATTTTGTTGTAAGTAGTATTATTTTCAAGCAATATGGGATACACATCTCTGTGTTTTGCTTGAAACCATAGACATGCCATGTTTCTTGCCCTTACATATAGCATACCAAAACGGGTAGCTTCTCTTCAGATGTTTTATTTGGAATAAGTAAGTCCTGGCTTAAGAGGAATGTTAGAAGAAAAATTCACATTACATCCAGCAGCACAAACTAGTAGCTTTCAATAGACTCTATAAGACTCATTAATTTAAATGCAAAATGTATTTATTCCAGCTGTGCAAAATTGTAAGCCTTAAATTACAAAAGAGTATAGCAGAAATTTGTTCTCCGCCACAGAAAGAGGAGTATACTAGTAAATCCAGTGTTTTGCAAAACTGCTTTCTAAAGGAAGAATTTATAAATGGGCATGTATATAATGACTTTCCTCAGCTGTAGTTAAACTTATCAATAAGTGTTTAAGAAGGATAATGAAGTATGGATGGTTTTAGTAAAGAGATTATTTACACCAACAATTAATATGCAGTGTCCTGTGAGGCAGTGTTCTAAGTCATGATTTGGTAAATTACTTGGCAAAAAGCTTGATAAACACTTTGAGAACTGTGGAATATCCAGGGATGGATTTAACTATTTCATTGTATTTTCAGGTGTAATAGAGAGTGATCAGAATGATGGGAGCAAATGGGGATGGCTGAGCTCCAACAAAACATCACAACCTGATTCGTGGGCTATACTGAGTGGCATCTGCTTTATGCTTTTCATTCCTGTAATTTTAATTTAATGGTTTTCACACTCACTAAGTTACAGAGTACTAACTTGTTTATAAATTAATGCAGTGACTAAAATTTTCAATTTTATGAGGCTGGGAATTTTATGGGCCTGGGTTTCACATGTTGGAGATCTTGTTGCATAAACATGAAGTCTTGAATCCACACATCTATGTAGAAAGCTGCAAACTTACTTATAACCCCAATGCTGGGGGCTGGGTAGAGATAAGAGGAGCCATTGGCTTACTAAAAATAAGTAGCTCTAGGTTCATGAGGGACATTGTCTCAAAGGAATTAGGTAGAGGGCAACAGAGCATAATGTAATGTGCACACTTAGGGATCCCCTCCACAGATACCAAATAGGCATAGAGCTTTCCATACAGTTACATGTTCCAAATAGTAGATGTCATCATAAAAGTATTTATTAATGCAGAATATTATAAGTTAGTGAAATTCAGAGGAATGGATACCATTTATCACACTAAGTTCACATATGAACAAAATGAAGCTCAGAGAACTGAGACAATTTGTTCAAGTTGTCTGGCTTGTAAAAGAAGGATCTGGATTCCTATTCTGAATTTCAACAGAGAAGACATTTGTAATAAAATGCTAGATAAAGCCTCTGGTGTTTCAGACTATAAGTTATATGGTAACAGAATGTGAAATGAGGCAGGGTTTAAAAAATTCACAGGACTGAGATGCTTTTTAAAATGCTGTGAAGCTAATAGAGCAAGAATAGACCTGGGGAGGCCAAAGACTGACTGATAATATTGCAATAAGTTTAATTTAGATCAATGAATAAAAAACATGATATTGTTTCCCAAAGCATGCTTTTCCTTATTTTTAGTGTGCAACTGAATATTTTTTCAGAGTAAAAATTAAAATAGCTTATTCTTTCTTCCAAATGATTAGTTTATATTGCTAAGAGAGTTCCTCATAGCCTCTCCACACATAGAATAAAAATTCAGGAATCATTTGCTCTGGAAACATTTTCAAATCTCTTAAGACTAAAAAAGTAAATCGAAGAAGTTGGAGGTGACTCATTTTTAATTACCATGGAGATTCTAATGTAGCTTAAGAAATGTAATATTACAACTTTATTTCTATGATTGAATCTCACACAGCCTAGACTGGACTCAGATCTTTAACAGCTGATCCTCCTGCCCCTATTTCTTAAGGGCTGGGTTAAGAAGCATGAGCCATTATACATGACATGAGCCATTATACATGACTCATCATAAAATTTGCTCAGTGTGCCTGGCTCTGCTGACTCCCCATGGGAGACCTTGATTTGGGGGATGTGGGGAGGTGGGGTGGCTTGGGAGGGAGGGCTGAGGGTGGGAGGAGAGAGGAGGTGGGATCTGTGTGTGGTATGTAGAGTGAGTAGAAATTTTCTTAATAAAGAAAAATGAAAAAAAATGAGTGCACTAAGTTTTACCTTACATTTAAGATGTTTGAGATGTCTCAGATAAAAGACTTATGAAAGTGGAATGATACCACTTGATACCTTTAATTTTGACAGCCACCCATAATGAGCAAAACAAAGTATAGACCCCAGGTTTGTTCTCTTGTAAATAATGCTTCCACCTTATTTGATGGAGTCCAGTCACTCAGTTGAGCCAATTTCTTGTTTTCCTTAGGACTCTTCTTTTACATCTTATGTGGACCTGCCCCCCATTCTGAAGCCCGCCACCTTCTGTGTCTAACCACCTGCTAACTGATTAGTTGGGTTTTGAATCTCAGATGTCATTTTTATTTGCCAGATAATTGTCTTAAATCGGTAGATAGGCTCTAATCTTCTCTTCCAATTCCTTACCCGAATACACATTTTCTATATTTCCCTGACCATGTTTATTTTATGCATTTTAAATCTTGACTTGAGTCAATTGTTGGCTTGTACACACACACACAAACACATACACACACA